GAAGCTCCACATGGAGGCACAGAGCTGGCCCAGCCCAATGGTGCATGGCTCCCACTTGCAATGCCAGGACCCCCATGTGTCAGTATAGAAGCAGCCTGGGTCTGGTCCCAAGGTGCTTGCCAGCAGGCTGGGCCAGCTCCATGCTGGCACATTCAGCCCCCGAAACTCAGCTGGAGCTACATGTTGCTGGGGGGCTCCATCTGCGATGGGCCATGAGCATCCCGAGGGCCTGCTGCTTGCTGCTGTTGTTGCCTCTTCTGACAGGGGCTGTACACCATGGGGGGGTGGGAGGGGCAACTCCCCCACAACCCACCCCGATGATCCCTGCCCACACCCACCCACAAACATGCATGCTATCGAGCCAGGCACAATGTGGATTTGTCTGTGTGGGATACTCCAGTCAAATTTAGTGTTCCCAGATTTCTGGGTGGGGGGCTCAAGCCACTGGTATACTTATTGGGAACCCCAAAGTGTGAACCTGCTCCTTCTTGTTGTCGACCTGTGCCTGCCAGAAAGGTTACATAACTATCTGTAAAAAAAAAAAAAAAAAAAAGGCACTCACCCTTCTCTACCTCATTGCAGGGAAGTGGAGCCAGCAGGAGTGTCAGGACCACTCCTTGAAAAGATAGAGCTCTGTGCACATTTGTCATTATTTTCTATCTCTGCATGTCTCTGTAACTTGAAAGAACAAACAGATGCAGATTACCTCTTCCCTGCACCCTAGGTGTGCTGTCAGTGGATGGGAGAAATCACAGGACAAGGCTTTTGAGGGAGGACTGTTTAGAACAAATATTCTACAGTAAAGAGAAAAGCTGACATTTTTTTTAAAATGACTACGCCGTCCCCAGAGCAATAGACAAGAGCCCAGGCACAGCCACAAGGGGGAAGCAGAACAGCCTAAATTCCATATTTGAAGAAATTCTCTCTGAAGCCACAAACCAAAGCCCCTGGAAGACATTATTTTCATCACACAACAGGTACTAAACAACTCTATTGCATGATGGAAACATTGTGCAATGTACACAGCTTGAAATTCAAAGGCCATACAGTCTGGAAGTGAAAAAGTAGTATGCAAGCTTGTGCTGGCCAGTGCTTCTCAGCTTGGGGAGCTGGAGAGCTGCTAGGGCAAATCCAGGGGTGGTGAGGGCAGTGCAGTCTCACACCCCTTCAGATATACTGTGCATGTGCTGTGAGCTCTGAGCAAACTAGCTTGTTAGTGCAGCTCTGAAATGCAGGAGGAAACACAACCCACAGCTACCTACAGTGTTTTCCCCAAGACAGTTTAAGCCCTACTGCCTTTGCTTAACCATCCCCTGCACAGAACTGGGGTGACCCAGAGCTGTGAAAGGGGTTGGGAATCTTCCCTCATGGCTCAATCCATCCTGGGGAATGCCCTGAGGATAGCTGCAGGCTGTGTTTTATAGCCTCAGTTACTGTTCTGGGATTGGTCAGGGTCCCAACATACCAGCTAGGGATGGAAGCAGAGCCCCATTTAACCTTCACAGGGAAGGGACAGGAAACAGTGCACTCTGGGATCATGGAAGACACAGCCAAGCCCTACCACTCTGTGTATAACATGCCACACATTTAAATTAAAGCATGATACAAACAAGCCACAAAGATGTTTCACATCTAATAAGTAACATATTTGAGGCTAGTTCACCATTTTCATTGCATTATTAAGGTTTGAGAGCAGGCAGCAGGGCAGCCTGCAGGTGTGGGCTAGCCCTAATGAGGCAATCACATGACTGCAGGAAGGACAGGGATAAGCAGCCTCCATTTTAGATCTAGGCTCTCAGGACTGAGGCAGCAGTCTGCTGATGACAGCCAAAAGAGCAACACCTGGCTGAGCTGCTGTTTGGAACATCTTTGGAGGTAAGGGCAGGAACTATGGGGAGGGCAGGAGGCTCCTGGTCCTGGGTATAACTTTAAACTGAACCCTGCAGGGGAAGGATGGCCTAGTGAGACTGCCTGTGGTGGGGCAGTTCCCCAAGAAATGCCAGGCCAGTTGCCTCCCCAGTGAAAGGTAGAGGCACCTTATAACCCCAGCCCCCACATCCTGGTGGATCCCCCATACCTAGGGACAGGCAAGGAGGCCAGGCATGTCTATGGACACCTGAGCCCCATGGGGTATAAGACCCCGGAGGCCCCAGTGAAGAGGGAAGATAGATAGAGTGGCCCCAGTGAAGGGGAAGAAGTTTGTGGTGGCCTGCACAGAGTAAGGTGTGCCATTGCGGCCTGAAGGACTATGTGTAAATGGGTGTACAGTAGGGTTGTAAGGGCGATCTGAAGGGCTGCACCAGGTGGTGTGCTGAGTAGGGCTGTAGAGGTGGTCTGAAGGGCAGCACAGGGGCCAACTCTCACAAGTATTCTAATGTGTGAAGTTGCCCAGCGAGGGGCTAGGGGCAGAGTCAGCCCTGTGTGAGGCAAGGCCAGAGCCACATACAGTAGGGAAGCTTGAGCAAACTGAAGGGCTGCATGGGGTCTGGCCAGTGTGAGAGTAGGCAAGCCTGATGGCCCAAGAGGGGCTGCTCAGAGGAGCAGGGTAGGTAGAGAGTGGCCCAGTGACGGGCGGTATGAATGAGGCCCAGTGAGAGTGGACAGAGTGAAAGAGGCTCCAGTGAGAGAGGGGTGGTATGTATGTGACCCAGTGCAGGGCAGAGTGCAACAGACTCAGCATAGGATGGAGTTTGGCCTGGCCTTTAGCCGGAGGTGTGATAATAATCTGGATGACATCTGTGAGGCATGAGACATGGCGTAGGATAGTATGGAGCCATGTACATCGGGGCGTTAAAATGGGCAGCCTCCTACATTTAATGTCAGTTTATTAAATCACTAAGTTGTGGCAGGCGAGACAGGGTGGACTGCCCCATATAGACGCCGATGTTGAGACCTGGCCCTAAGACCTGGCCCCTGTCACGAAGATTAAATATTTTAGTCCTCAAAAAGCTTAACTATGTGTGCTATGCGTAGAGAACACGAGAGATACCAGCACCAACACATTCAGTGTTATATGCCTAAATGATTCCAGCATGCCAACACTAATCTATACTACAGAGGAAAGTGATGCAGCCCAAAAGTTCCTAGCCAATCTGATTTGTGGCAGAATCCCTTACTGCTCCCATTTCTTACTACCATTGTGCATGAGAGTGCACATATACCAGCCAGTCACCTGACAGAATTCTCTGTACCAGTTAAGAGCATTTTCATCCCAGTGAATACCCTGGCTTTGCAACTAAACCCTGAAAGAAAGAAAAAATAAAAACAGAAGAACTGAATTATTTTCAAAAAGGCCTATTGGTACCACCCACAGACTGTGAAATCAGAGACTAACACTGATGTGTCAAAAACTGTTTAATTGGTAGACAAAATAATAATAGGATGGACTATGCTGCCTATTACTCACTTTTGCAGTCAATCACTTGATATGGACATGAAACTGTTGGGTGGACAGAAAATAAGGTTACTATCCTGGGACTTCAGGATCCAGTATTGGGCCTCCATCATCCTGATCCCAAGAGATGCCCTAACCAGACAAAGCCAGACATTGCTATCTCTACAAGACTTGACTATACCACAAATACAATCTGTGCTGAGATCAGACTAACACTTTGCATTTTCTGTATTTTATGAGGATTAAAATATTTTAATGTTAACTGCTTGACATGTTAAGCAGCTTCAGGTTCTTGAACTTGCTTAACCGATTCATGTTGTATAAATTATGTTAACACCTTTGACCAGGGACAGACCCAGAATTTGGCAAAATGGGGTGTGAGAGTGTGACAGGGGTCCATCCCCATGCCTGTCTAACAGAGGCCTGACCCTCTGTCTCTAGGCTACCTGCCGACCTATCTCTCCTGCCATGCCTTGATGGAACAATAATTATGATGTTACTCAGGTGGGAGGCTGCCCATTTAATACCCCAACACTAGGGGTCGCTATTCACCACACCAAACCTCCCCTACATGGTGGCCCATGCCTCGCAGATGGAATAAATGTTGACCTATGCCCTAGGGTGTTGAGTCGGCTCACTCTGTCACCGCACCTCTCTTGGCGCTGGGGCCCAATTGCCCCCTGTCGCTGAGCCGCGCCCTCCTCCCCCCCCCGGTGCTGGGGTCTGATCACCCCCTGTCGCTGCACCCCCCCCCACCAGTGCTGGGGCTTCGCACAGTATTGTACCCCACTGAGGCCTCCTCCTCCCCAAATAGCCTCAGCCCAGTCCACCCAACAAACAATAACATAAATATAAGCCCCCAGGCTATAACATAATAGAAGTCCTATAAGCCATACTCTGGCTCCTTAAAAACCCCAAACTGCTCCTTGAGCCTTGAGTACCTTCTCACTCCCCCGCTCTGGGTACCTTGTAGACTCCTGGAGCCTCATTAGCCACAGCAACAGTCTGGCCAGCAGCCACAGTGTTCTGGGGTATTTCTGCTGTGCCGTCCTGGCAGCCCCACCTCTTAGTAACAGGGCTAGGGTTCCCTGTTACAGGGAACAGCAACCCACAGTGCAGGGGTGGTTGCACCCCTCCTCCAAATTTTCCCCCTACCCACCAGTGTAGGCAGACCATACTGTGGGAGCCTCCAGGAACTTTTTAAAGTCCCCAAACCAGGTAAGAATTCCGGCCACCACTGTAGTCCTCAGAGTCATGTCCTCTCCCTTCTCCTTTCCCCATTCCCATGCTCACCATTACCGCTTTGCCTACCGTCCACAGAAAAAGCTTCAGAACCTCTCCTTTCTGTTCCAGAGGGGAAGGATGTGACTCTGAGCACAAAGGGGAAGGAGTGGGGTTCTCACCTGCTTTAAAAAAGTCCCCAGAGGTTTCAAGGTGGGATCCAGTCCAAAAAGAGGGTGCAGCTGTGCCACAACATCCTCTGTGGATTCACCCCAGCCTTTGACCCTCTGGGTCCAATTATTTTATCAAAATTAGAAAAACAGAGCCTACATTACATCAGAGCCAGGGGTGTTGTGAGTACACATTTTAGTGAAATGGGCCTTACCATTGGTGAAGGTGTTCACATAATACTTGCGGCCCTGGGGAGACATGTAGCTCTGCCAGCCTGGAGGGAGAGGACAGTTCAAAGAATCTTCTCCTGACTGAGTAGTGACTTTCCTGGGCTTCTGTTGGTATAAAAAAAAGTTCCTGTTAAGCTGGTTTTAAGATAAGGTGAAGGTTGTTCCTGTGGTTGCCAGGAACAGTTTCCTGTCTAGAAAATTATATATGGTTTACTGATTTCCAACCAGCAGTAACTATGTGTATGTGTAGATGAAACGGAGGCCCTAAATTGAAGCGGTGGGTTTTTAAAAACACTGCTTCAATTTAGGACTCATTAAAACCTTGTGTTGTGCACACGCCTGAACTTAACCGCCTCTCCGGTGGTGGGGAGGGGAGGGCATGCTGCTGGTGGATGGAGCGGTCCCCGGGCTGTGTGGGTGGGGCTGGTGCTTCCCTCCATGGCAGCAGCAGTGCCCCCCAGGCAGCACCTGCCCACAGGCACCCAGCTTGGGCGGTCCTGGGGGTCACTGCAGCTGCAGAGGGAAGCACCAGGCTCCTGTGCAGCTCAGGCAGGCAGGCAGGCTCCCGGGAGGCGAAAGATCAGGCTCACTGCTTTTTTTTTTTTTTTCTTCTTGTGGAGCCTGCCTTCCTGGCTCCTGCCAGGCTGCCTACATGGGCTTCCTGCAGAAGCCCTGAGCTGCATGGAGCCCAGGGGTTTGCTCTGTGGCTGTAGGGCAGCAAACTAAAACTCCTTGGAGGAGTTGTAGGTTGCTGCACCCCAAGTCATTTAAGGCACATTACACCACTGAATTCGCTACAGTGGCTGGAATTACTGTGCAATACGCTGCCGATGCATGCAAACACCAACACCATTAAAACGGTGCAAAAGCATTTAACCCACTTTGAACTGTCATGCACACATGCCCCTTGTTTCGTCTACACACCTATGAGCCAATGTTCCCAACTTCCCCCTTCCCACCATCAAGGCTTGACCTTGCTCTGGATCTGGGAAACTTCCCTTGAATGGCACAAAGCATAGGGGAATAGTGCATTTCCTATATTGAATATTTTGGTGATGTAACACCTGGAACACATGCCTTTGGAAGAGTGAAAAAGACCTCTTTGCATCCGGAGAGTGCCAATGTTACCTGCAACGGGGAATGATTGTCAGCAAGAAAAAAAGTGTAGAGTGGAAAGCAGAGTGGCTCTTTTTTTTTCCACCCTTCCCCAAGCTGGCTCCTGGGACTACAGCCTAGATCACCCCGCATTAGTTATGCTACTGAGAATGCCCTAGACTCAGAATCATAACACAGATCCTCAGGAAAAAACAACATGTTCGGCACACTGCCACCTACTGGCACAATAGCAGTGGGGCTTTAGACCAGGGATGGGCAAAATACAATCCAGAGGCTGCATCTGGCCCACCAATGGATTTTATCTGGCCCACAGTGGGTTCCTTGGCCCTGCCCAGCCTTGGCACAGGGCCATGTGCTTGTGGCTAGTCCCACCTCCCCCAGGCATATGGTGCAGGCAGCGGTAGAGGCTCCTTCTGGCTACCACAGGTAGACTGCTGGGGCCAGCACAGTTGCTGGCCGAAGCCTCCCCTACTCAACCTGGGGAAACAGACTGTGCGCCAGAACTTGCGTAGCATGGGTGTTTCTTGGGGACAAGTAGGTGTGCCACTGCTACTTGTCCCTGAGAAAATGTACATTACCACTCATCTGGACATGCCCTGAGATGCCATCCAGTCCCACCTTTTGCCTTATCACTGGACTATCTGGGTACCCCACATAATGCTGTGAGCAACCATCTGTCAGTCAGAAAACTAGCTTCAGTTGACTCCCCAAGTCTATCAAAGCTTCCGTTCCTCATATGTACTAAAAGCCAGTGTCCCTGCCCTACTGCAAGTGTGTATAAGGTATTAATTGTTCCCATTCAGGATGGGGACCTGGCATCTTGGAGCCAGGAAGATGCAAATAAGCTTTCAAGCAGAATAGCCTACAAAATCCCACTGCAGTTAAAACTTTTCTGTCCCCAAGCACTACCCCTGGCCAGACTAAATAAACAGAAGATAAGCACTGCCTCGGAGCATTACTAAATTACTGTTGGTAGTACCAAACCTGCACTGTGAACAGTCACTCACAAACAGGGACTGCATTTCTGTCCTGGGATTGTGATGACAGAGACTGTTTATAGATGTAAGATTTGCAATGTTTCAAATGCCTTTAAACTGTTAGCAGGGGTTTAGGTTGTAGCCGTGTTAGTCTAAGGACATAGGCAGACAAGGTTCCTTGGGTGAATTTGATATCTTTTATTAGACCAACCCAAATAGTTGGAGAATAGTTATTAAGCAAGCTTTCAGGTTCAAAAACCCTTCATCAGGCTAAGGAAGTTTCAGCAGTTGGTGCGTGCTCTTCCTGGATGGAAGATGCACACACCAACTGCTGAAACTTCCTTAGCCTGACAAAGGGTTCTTGAACCCGAAAGCTTGCTTAATAACTATTCTCCAACTATTTGGGTTGGTCTAATAAAAGATATCAAATTCACCCAAGGAACCTTGTCTGCCTTTAAACTATTAGAAAAGGCAAGTGTAGAGATGTACGCATCCACAAAAACATTCTAAAAATGGTCAAAGCATGCCAAAATGAGGAGAAATCAGGCACTAGCATAGCATGGTAGAGTGCTGGTTTGTCCTCCAGGCACTCCACAATGCAGTGATTCCCTCCACCACAGCTCCAAGCAGCCACTCTCTGACTCCTGCCAAATTCTCCTGCCTTAAGGTCACAGGGCTTATATGAAGCCTTGCTTACCTACTTACTGACCAGCACAAAGGCATGATGGACATTCTGTGCCAAGTTGAAGGCATAGATTCAAGGATCTGTTGAAGGCACAGATTCAAGGATCTGTTTGGACTCTGTGCCTTACATGAGGCCAGCCAGTAGTCACAATGTTCAGACCACCTTTTTCCAACACATCTTTCAGGAACATCAATAACTGGAATTGGGAAGAGATGCTGGAGCTACTCTCCATTTGGAACAATAAGGAAGTCCAGTGAGCAGACAAGATAAACCACTGCAACTAGGCCATCTTTGAGTGCATCACTGCCAAAATGGCACGTCAGGAGCACAAGGCAGCAGTATTGTGCACAGACCAAGATCTGGAAGGAGCAGTATAAGAGACCCGAGATGCCAGTTGGGTTTCTGGTACCTGCAGGGTGGCAACTACCTACTACAAGGAGCTCTTATGGATCCACTCAGAGACTGATTCCATTCAGCCCCACTTCACAGTCAATACTAGTGGCCAGGTACAAACCATCAAGGACTTTGATGCCTCCCAGTAAGTTTTATGGTAACTGTGGGTCACCATCTTTACTGCAGACTGACAGCTTTTGCTGGCTGGAAATACAAAGTAGCATAATTATCCCTTTCCCTTTCAACCAGAATTAGTCTAAGAGGATACGTCAATACCATTCCCACAGTGCTGCTGAGGCCTTGCTCCACATGTGCTGAACAAAGCAGAGAAGCTGCTGTAAAGGATACCCTCTAGTGCCACTCTCAAGCTGGCTCTGGCATGCTCAAGACTAGGTGGAGTAACTCTGGGTGGAGTGATTCAAACTGTAGCTGGTATTAGGCTCACAGGGATGGCACTAGCTGTGCCATATATTACTAATGCCTGAGGCTGTGGTTCTTAACCCTTTTAGACTCAAGTTACCCCTCAGAAAATGCCAGCTCTTAGTTTTCATTCATTTTTTGACTAACGAAAAACAGCAGAGTAATTTTGCAGTTAAACAGAACTCAGAAAGCCCACAACTGGTCAAGATATTTTAATGCTCTGGATTCCTATTTGAAATCTTTCAGTTTATCTTGTGAATAATGTTTGCACACCTAACATGCTAACATTGAGTTGGCACCCCATCGAACTTCTAAAAGGATCTGAAGGTACCTTAAGGTGTCACAGCACCCTGGCCTAAAGGCATCCCATGGGGCTGCCTGTCCTTGTTGATATTTGGTATTTTACTCATCTCCAGAAGTCAGATGATTACATTAGAGTCTCAGTTTCCATTTCAAAGAAAAAGTCCATTTCTACCCCTTGTGGTTGCCAAAAAAAGCTGGCAACCACAAATATGACCTGTGTGCCCCTACTGGCTCACACGACAGAGGTGAATATTAGAACACAATTTTAAAACCCTAAATTTAAAATGAATATCCGGGGGCTTCCATCTTAACTTTCAAACCCTCAGAGCTGGTACAAGTAAGTGCTCCTACAGCCTCTTTCACCAGACTGCATCTTTGATTTGGCTAAGAAACAATCCTGTAGGTCTGCTGAGCAGATGGAGGCCCCGTGGGAGACTTGGGGACATTGCCTACTGACTTCACCAGGGTGAAGTCAGCATAAAATTAGTTTTTTCACAGTTACAAGGGGCCAGAGACAAGGCATGAACCCATTCCCAAAACCTCTTTCCTCTGGCCCAGAGAGTGGCATGGCACTCAGGGGAAATAAACACTTACTATCAAACCTATAAAGTTATCCAGTTAGGAAAGGTTGCTGCTAGAGGATAGTCCCATTGAGGTCCCCATGTCCCCACCTGATAGGGCTTATAACCACTTCTTTGCACAGTTAAGGATGATCTTTTAAACAAAATAAAGGACACAACTTTTCATACAATCAGTGATTTTTCTACTGAAAGATTGGTAACTGGACTCTGGACCTGTGAGGCTCTCTCCTATTACCTCTGCAAGGGGCTGGTCAGGATCTTCCTCCTAGACACTGTCAGACAATTTCTCCTGATATCAGTGCATGCAGGATTTGAGCACCTCTGGGAAGCAGTACATGTGTGAGGACCCAATTATTAAATCTAGGCAGATTAAAAACCTGCAGAAGTTTGGGCACATCATTATCAAATAGCACAGCTATATCCTACTGAAGTTTGTCTTTACACATCACAGATCTGAGCTTGATAGATGTCACAGAGTTCCTGAGCTTGGAGCTTTGTGATGGGATTTAAATATGAGAGGCCATTTGCTCTATGGGCTATTAAGAATCTCAGTGGGTTTTCCAAATTTTGATAGTTTTCAATCTCAAAGTCTCTGTATTCTTCCTACTGCACAGTATGTAAGTCACAGAG